ATTTGAGCAAGCAAAATATTAATAAAATTTCATGTTACTAATCACTGAATCCAACGAAGGAGGACAATTTTAGTCAATGATGCTTTGTATGATTCCCAATTAATTTGAGTCAATAACAGAGTCATCCATGGATTCAATCCCCTAACAAAGCCTCTTAATGTCCATCTTCTGCTTAGCCCCTCCTCTTCTTCCTCCTCCAACATATTTCCCAATCCAAGGGTCAAGGTAATAACAATGATGTGTTGCAACTAATGACCTGTTACCCATCAGGTTTTTTAAGAATCAGTTGTACCAGAAGTTTAGATTTTAAACTTGCTTTTATGTTTCATAAACTAAAACAAAAAACTCAGAAGATTTTAACACTTTAAAAAAGATAAAATCTCCTTCAATATTTTTGCCTTTTTCTATCTTATGCTCTTTGTTGCCTAAATGGTTTCTTAAACCTAAGTAATGCTAATACAAGTTAACTGCTTTGAGTTTTAGCTTTTTACAGTATCAAAGTTTTAGCACCACCATTGGTCTGGTTCAACTAACACAATAAGGAGGAATAGGCCCAATCACACATTCATCATCAAGTTAAATGCATCACTAATAATGGGGACAACCAGATGAACAATCTTATGCTTTGTTAACTATAACAAGAAATTCATTCCCCATTTCTATCTGCTGTTAACAACCAACACAAAAACGAAAATATTTCATACACAAATGTCAAGAACCCATCATTCGTACTTCCTTTCATGCTCATCCAGAGAAGTTCAAATAAAGAACAAGATAATTCATAAGGATTCAATGACACAAAGTGAAGTGCTTTACCTTCTTAGCATCAATTTGAAGAATATACAAATCCTCCTTCACATTCATGAAAAATTTCTGCAACGTTGGCCGTACCTACAGAATCATTACCCCAAAAAATTACAGTCTCAGAAGCTACAGGAGCAATCAATCCGAGCAGTGGGCAGATGTATCAATGAAACACTAGAAAGCAATAAAGCAAAGAGAGAGACCTGATCGAGATTGCTCAGATGGAAGCAACCAGTGGACTTATCAAGCTCTCCGCCAAAGATAGACCCATTTTTCTGCAACTCTTCCCACTCCTTGGCCGTGCTAATCCTGTAAACGAACTCTTCCCCTTCACTCCCTCCCTCTTTCGCTGCCATTCCAACAATCTTATCCAGCCGACCCTACCCTACCGACAGCCTGATTCATCATTTGACCAGAACATGACATAAATTTCCCATCTGGGTAGAAATATAATTACCTAATACGATAAGGGTACATTTGCAATTTGCTTATTTTCCTGTCACCCTCCAAGTGTCAATTTCCGGGCCAAATTCCCTCCGGTATTCGCCGTTAACTCCGAGGTTCAGTTCCAGTGGGTAATGCCATCTTCCACTTTCTGTTCTTCTCCCACAAAACACAATAAAAAACCATGGCTAAAATGACAAATCCAGGAGCACTTCGTCCCCTTCATTCTTATTCCCATCTCAAGCAGTGGCCTTTTGTAGATTCTAGTACAATCCTTCCTGGTTTTAGAGATTCTCGTTTCTCTAATTTTAAAGGGACGCTGAAAAGCTCAAGAAAGGCATCGTTTGTTCCTGTAATAGCATCCCAGAGCTCTCCTGGTACGTCTCTTAGGACAATGTTTTATGGATTTTGAATTTATTGTGTTTCCTTTTTTGTGTGGAATGTGCAATTGGTGTCTTGATTTTTATTGGGTTTCTTTCTTTTCTAGTAAATTATGTCCCGGACGCAAAATTTTACAAGGTGGAAGCGATTCTCAGGTACATAAACCGCCCTATCTTTCTCTTTCCCATGCATGCCATGGATCATTTCCATTTCTAATTGTTTTTCCTTTTTTGTTCATGTGCTGAATTTCGGATGGAAAAAATATGCCCTGGCGAATCCAGCAAGTTTCTTCGGTAAGACAGTAAGAGCTGATGGACCTTTAAATTTATGTATGTAGTTATAATGCACTTCATGTTTCTGAATTTCTTTCCATGGATAGTTAATAAGATCCTGCTATGTTGTATCAAATGTTACTCCATACTATTGCTTTTGATCTTGATTCTAGTAAAAATTTCCTGCATTTCTGTCTCAAAGTTCGTATATGAGGAATATTTGAGCGATTGCACTGAAAAGATAAGAGTTATTTGTCTAGATGAGGTTTTTGGCAGGCATCAAAAAGTTACATGATAGAAGCTACTGTTTGTTTTTTGTTCTACCCTTACCTTTCCTGCGTCATTGTATCTTGAATTGCAAGATGAGGGTTCTCAAGACACAGACTTTAACTCTGTATCTTGGTCGCCAAGTGATTAGTGGAGAGGAAAGTGATTCAGTTGTAATTTTAGTCTATTAGTCGTAAAGCATGGCATAGCAGAATTGCATGATTAATTCTCTTATGACTTGTTGAGGATCATTTTAGTGAGGAATAGATTAATTTTGTGGTGTCACCATGTTTTAACCAGATAAGCTGAATGATCTCCAATATGCATTTACTATATTTTGGTTCATATTCAAGTTGTGGTTGTAGTACTTTTATCTCTGAGAAATTGAGAACAATAATGATAAGTCTATTAATTTAAAGCATCTTCAAGACTCCTTTTTTATTCCTCCATTTTCCAGCAAATCATGGGAGAAAAAAGAGGCTCGTACAGTTACTTCTAATTATTTTGAGCTTCTTCCAAGTGTCATACTATGCATATGGATCCTATTCCTGTATTAAGGAAGACATATTCTTTCCAATGGAATGAATCCTTTGGTTACATTTGACTTCCTTTTTTTGTCCAGCTATATTTTTATTATTAACCTGCTTTGAACTATTTCTTTAGTTGCCTGGTGGTGTTCCATTTGATTATTCATTTATGTTCTAAAAATTAAGGCTTTGGTGAAAATGGTTATTTGTGGCGTTACAGTTTCTGATGTAGGAGGCTTTGGGGCTCAAGGTTATTCAACAGAGAGACATGGTGGTAAGCACTTCTCCTGTAGAAGGGGTTGAAAATTTAGCTACTCTCCTCCTTATTTTGCTTCCATTTTTGTTTCGTTTTCCTATCCTCTCCATGAAGATGCTGAGAAGTTCAGTGGTGTTTTAGTCTACTTCCACTAGTTATTTTTCTGTGCCTTCTAGGACAGTCATGAATTTAGTGTTTTTAACTGTCTTGCCTAAGTTTTCTTCTGGTTTATTTTTTACTCTGTAGGCTCTGAATTTTCTGGGGACAAGTTTCTAGCTAAAGTTAAAATGGAGATTGTGGTGAGAAAGGAGCAGGTATAGATATAATATGAAGAATCACCTCTATAATTAAATATGAAACATTTGATCTATTGCAATAGAAGGAAAATCATGGAAAATTTATTGCTTAAAATCTCTAGTTAAGTTATTGCACTTAATTCTCCTGTCACTGTGTCACAGGTGGAGGCTGTGATTGATAAGATAATTGAGGAGGCAAGGACTGGAGAGATTGGTGATGGCAAGATATTCTGTAACCTTCCAAATTTGTTCTTCTCAAGCTATATAGTTGAGGGAATTCTTCCATTATGGCTAAAGAAAGCTGTAAAGTATAAAATTATGGAACCACGATAGTAAAAATTTCAGGTAAATGAAGTTGTTTTGTAAGTTTCTTTATGTTTTGACTTCTGACAAAATCATTCATAGGTGAGGCCTCTTTACAGACATGTGGTGTAAATGAGCTAGGAAATGTTTTATGTTCTGCAACATCAGATTGTTAAAACTGCTGCTGTGTCCCGATTTTGCCTTCTTTTTAATTCCTGTTATAGCTTGATCGTGATGACTACATCTTTATGAAATTGTCTCTGTTGCCTCTTTGTGCATCGTAACCACATCCGAAAGAGTGGGATTGTTAATTTAGAGCTAGTAGGGGTACTTTGTCTCATATTTGAGTATTGGAACCCGTTCTCTGTTGATACATCTTGAACCTTCTAACAAAATTCTTTTGGTCATACAGTGGTGCCTGTCTCTGATGTCATTAGAGTTCGCATAGGTAACTTAATTATATTCCACTCAAATTCAAGTAATGCTTTCTTACATTGCTTGTTGAAGCATCTCTTCAAATATTTAACAACATTTTGCTTTGCAATTCTCAGGTGAGTGTGGAGAGAAAGCTGAGAGGTTGGTCGGAGGACAATCTGACGTGTCCACTCCTGCATAACCAGATTTGCATTGTCAGCAATGTTAGCTGCAGCTTACTCTAATTGAAGTGTCAAAGCTGCAGCTGCCCTTAATTTGTTGAAGCTTATGATAGTGTTAGTTGTTTAGCATGTATTAGCTCCTGCGAATTAAAATAAAGATGAAGCATCAGTCACAGTGCTTTCTATCTCATCATAATGTGAAGCTGTTACTGGTTACTTAGTTGTTATATTTTGCTTAGCTGTTATTCTTTTGTGCCACCTATCTTGCCCATCCACTCCTATAAAAGCCATCCTGATATCTTTAAGGCCTTGCAGGGTTATACTATTACAGAAAGACTGTCTCAGTTTCCATTGCATCCTCCTTGACAACAGAGGCCACTAGCAAACAAGTTAGCTTGAAGCTTCTGCTAGACACAAAAGCCCAGAGAGTTGTATTTGCTGAAGCTGGAAAAGACTTAATTGATTTTCTATTTAACTTATCACACTTGCCTGTTGGCATCGTGATGAGGCTTCTTCTTAACCAGAGCGTGGAGGGTTGCCTTGCAAACATCTGCAAGACCATTGAAGATTATGATGACAAGATCATGCATCCATCACGAAACAAGGATGACGTGATGAAGCCAAAGGTTGTGACCATTAACACAACTGATCCTCAAGAATTGTTAGATATTCAGACTACATCTTCTTATGCGTTTTTCAAGTCCTACAGTTGCCGTTTGATGTTTCAGGCCATGTGAATTGCCTCACCCCCTACATTAGTTGAGCCATCCAAGAAATCTCTCTCAGATGATGGTGGTTATGTGAGAGGTGAGCTGATGTACATGGTCATGGATTACCTGTCTGTGAGGCCTAATTCAGCTGTTTTTGGTATTACCATGCTTAACCGACTTGAAATAAAGAATATCATTACTGTTAAAACTAGGGAGGTTTGTCTAGGCACAAACGAGGTGTAGCATCAATCCTCTTGCTCCGTTTCATTCCTTGTGTTCCTAGTTCATTTTATTTTAGTTCTGCAAAAACAGCTCTCACAATAGTCAAAATTCTTGTTTAATAACTTCGTTGAGTCATTGTGTTCTAACTCTTGGTCCTTATTGCTTGGTTCTGTTTCAGGCTTTCAAATTGCTCAAGGCATCGTTGTATTCCAAGACTGCTCATTGATGTGGTCCTTGGAAACCAGGATGAAAGAATAAGTTACTGAGGTGTCGGTGATGCCTGTGTCATCTGTTTATGTTATTGCTTGGTTTTGTTCATTTTATGTCCCTTTGGTGCTAATTAGAGAAGAGAAGTATATCTGATGTTTTGTCTACTTGTTGAATGTGGACAATGCAGCCTGCTTCAAGATAATTATATATTCGTACGGTTCTTTTCATTAGCTATTTTGAGGTTGTCAAATGTTTAAAGCAAATACTCATTTCATTTCTCTTCAGGGGTTCTAAAGATTGCTGCATTGACCAAAAATTCCTAGTAGGATATTAAAAATCTAGTATATTTCACCATTTTTTTTTATTGAGATAAGGCAATTGCTAGTAATGTTTCACAATTAGCTAAACTTTGATTTGTACAAGGGAAAACAGGGATAAATGAGGTGTTACACTTGATTTTTTTGTTAGTAGAGTGCTGTTCTCTTTTTATTGGAAGAGATCTTGAAATTAATTTAAGCTATACAATATGTTAGAATATTAAGTAAAAGAGAAGGGGATTGTGCTACTTAAAACCAGCAAAAATAAAAGA